AAACGTAAAGGTATAAAGACAATTGAATATTAAGGAAATAATTAAGTCGAAAAAAGGCAGAAAAGAAAACAAGAAATGTTAATTTCAAACTTTATAATTGGCGTGATGAGGCTTGGGTGGTGCCTTACTGCCAACTGCTCGTGCGCGAAAGGCACTTGTTACCGGATCAGATGTACGCGCACATAGCGCAGTATAAGATTCCCTATACTTACATATATACAGACTGTTAAGTATAATTTACAAATGCATAATTACACTTTCATGTTCTTAAACATTAATTTTTTTTCACTATGTACGGGTGTATGTATATATACACTCTATTTTTAGTGTGGATTTAATTGTCTGAGGTCACGTTTGGTTGAATCTGCGCTGAAGCGTTAATTCTCGCTAGATTTAAAATGAGGGTCCTTATGGCGAATATTTTAAGATTTTTCAAGAAAATATTTCTGTTAAGGTAAATATGAGTTTTTTATTCAAAGTTTGCGGGGAAAAAGCAAAAAAAGTTGTTGTTCTACAATTTTAATGATTCATTGTCTTCCTTTGTCTCAACTCCTTAGCACATTACTACTATATTAATGTAAAAATAAATGAAAAAATATAAGTAAGATATACTCACATTCATACGTCCATATTATTTTTTATTCTGTTTCATTTTATTTACTTTAATTTTATTTTATTTATTTATTCTATATTTTTATATTATTTTATTTTTTTTTTGTTTCGTTTTATTTAAGTTTTTATTTCTTTTAGTTTATTTTAATTTATTTTATATTATTTTATTTATTTTATGTTATGTTATATTATTTATTTTAATATTTCTTTTGTTTTATTTTATTCTACTTTATTTTATTTCTTACCATTTTATTTTATTTTACTTTATTTAATTTAATTTAATTTTATATTTTATATTTTTATTTCAGCATTTCTTATTTTGTTTTAATTTATTTTATGCTATTTAATTCAAGTTTATTTTTGTTTTATTATAATTTATTTTGCTTTATTTTTTAAATTTCTTATTTCAGTACTTATTTTATTTTATTTCATTATTTAATTATTTTATTTGATTACTTTATTTTATTTTATTTTATTTTATTTTATTTTATTTTATTATATTTTATTACATTTTATTATATTTTATTTTATTTTATTTATTTTATTTTATTTTATTTTATTTTATTTTATTTTATTTTATTTCACTTTATATTATTTTATTTTATTTTATTTCCTTTTTACTCATTATTTTATTTAGTTTCATTTTATTATTATATTATATAGTTATTTTTTTTCATTTAATAGAAGTTTTAAGTAGATTTAGAAGCTTATAAGATTAGAGGAAATAAGAAGCCTGCGTTGTATTTGTAGCCACCATTTTTAACCTGTTCAGAGCTACCTAAAAAGATTAGGTTTTTATTTGAATAAAAAAAGCAACAAAAACCAACATCGAATCTTTAAATACCCCAAAATCATTCATGCGATTGTTAGTCGAGCGGATGGAAAACCACAACGTCAAACAGCATTAATCGTACGTCAGATCAAAAATCATTTGTAGCTAAACAAAATAGGTAACAATGAAAGCAAAACCGCTTTTAATATGTATATTTGTGCATACATATGAATGTATATAAAGTACGTACTTGCATACCTTTATTGTACGTATGTATGTATATCGATAAGTATGTATGTACAGACCCTGCATGTGAATGTTGAGTACAATCACAAATACTGGTTTTTTCGGTGGAGATAAAAAGCACCACAGACCGACTGGCTATACGAGCAAATAAATACTTGCCACTGCCGTCGATGAAAACTAAAATGAATTTATAATACAAAAATAAAAAATAAAAAAATTAAAAAATTAAAAAATAAAAAAATAAAAAATTTAAAACGCGTTTGTTGCGGAAAAATAGTGAGTGGCACCTTTTTTCCCGTTTTTTATTTTACCAAAAAAAAAGACACCAATCGCCTGCTGCCACCAGAAGAGCATGCGCAAGTGTATGAGTGTATATTGGACAAGCACATAGTATATATGTATATATAAAAAGACTTGATTCCTTAAGTATTACGTTTATGCACATTGGCGTTTAGTGAAAGGGAAAGTGTGATCACTATTATTATTATTTCTCTTTTAAGTTTTTGGTTGTGCTCTTACACTAGACTTGCTATAATGCAACATAATGATTATCTTGGCTTATTGAGGTAATAAAAAATAGTCATGAACTCGACAACGAAAACATGCCTTAGAACAAATGACTGGTAATTGGCACTTTCGCGAATTTCATTGGGAGCCAGTCGGAAATATTAATGTTTAAAATTCTGCTGATTAAAGGAGGAACTAAATTACTGTGATTGATCAAAGAGAGCAGCTGGTAATTTCTTTATTTTATATAAATCGCCTACGATGGGACTTAAGACAGGCGAAAATATTGAAATTATTTCAGAAATAGATTCTAAACAAATTCAAATATATAAAGTGAGACGAGTGGGTCAAATAAATCTTCTGTCAGCAAACAAATGGGCTTCCACGTCACTGTTGACAATGAACACAAGCAACAATATCAGCTGGGAAATCCAATTATGAGTACCAAAGATAAAACATTACAAGTCAATCGTCCCTGTCCTCTTATGCGATGTGGTTCATATGGATGAGAACATTCCAGTTATGGGGATTTCGACGCACTTTTCACCGAGAGAGCCTAATGGCTAAAAGATGAAACGAATGGCTATTGTTAATCTCAACTATAAGCCGTGTCAAAACCAATAAAGAAACTAAATTTCATTTCACCGTAAAAATACTTTCAGTAGGGTTGATATTCCTTGCCGAAAGCGACCAAAATAAAAAAAAAAAATATCTAAAATAAATTTTCTATAATATTAGTTGTTGGCTTTGCCAGTATTCAAACCCAATACCAAACCCTCCGCATGATGATACACACTTCTAGAGCGGCTGAATGAAAAATCTTGCTGCTAGTGCTTCTCTCAGGTGTAAAAAAAGGTATTATCACTTCTTCTCTATCTCTTCAACTTTATAGTAATAACCAGCTGTACCCTGCACCTCTTCACCGAATTTCAAGTGAATGGAACCATAAATAAGATTTTTTTTTTTTGAAAAAATCACTGCCTGCTACACTGCCCTGAGCGAAAATTCCTGCTTATCTAAACCAAACGCCATCTACATACCTATATAGGTCAGTTCCTTGGTTCTTTTCTTGAAACATTTTTCTGAAAATCCTTCCCAGGAACCAAAGAAAGAATCTGACAAAATTTTAATTTTTCCAAACGGGCATACAATTTTTATTGGATGAGTGCATAAGTTCGTGCCCGATTCCGCTGGATGCCGTTCGAATCGTTTGAGAGTTTCCCTCGTGAAAGAAATATATACATATTATATATCGTTGGAAAGGTGACAGTCCGAACTGTAAATCAAGCATAAAATAACTTAATTTTGATTTGAGTTGCTTAGTGAAAAGACGCATGGAAGATGGACAACGAAAAAGATCATATGCGTCATATTATGTTATACGAATTCCGCAAAGGAAAAACAGTAGGCGCTGCAACTAAAGATATTCGCGAAGTTTATTTGGACCGTGCTCCAGCACTCCGCACAGTAAAGAAATGGTTCGCGAAATTTCGTTCTGGAGATTTTAACCTCGAAGATCAACCTCGCAGTGGACGGCCTTCTGAGCTTGATGACGATGTTCTAAGGACTTTAGTTGCGAATAACTCACGTATTTCGACGGAAGAGGTTGCCAGTGAATTGAACGTCAACAAATCAACTGCGTTTCGTCGTTTAAAAAAGGTTGGGTACACTTTGAAGCTCGATACATGGGTGCCACATCAGTTGAGTGAAAAAAACAAAGTGGACCGTATGTCAACAGCAATTTCTTTGCTTCGACGGATCAAAAACGAACCTTTTTTGGATCGGCTCGTGACTGGTGATGAAAAATGGATCCTGTACAACAATGTTCAACGCAAAAGAACATGGAAACAGGCACACGAAGGGGCGGAACCGATGTCGAAAGGTGGATTGCATCCGATGAAGGTACTGCTGTGCATTTGGTGGGATATCCGAGGCGTGATCTATTTTGAGCTCTTGCCAGCTGGAGAAACGATCACTGCCAACAAGTATTGTCAGCAATTGGTCGAATTGAAGAAAGCAATTGATGAAAAACGTCCGATTTTGGCCAATCGCAAAGGAGTTCTTTTCCATCATGACAACGCCAGGCCACATGTTGCAAAACCGACCCTGGCCAAACTGAAGGAGATGAATTGGGAAATCATGCCGCATCCCCCATATTCACCCGACATTGCACCTTCTGATTATCATTTGTTTCGATCGCTGCAGAACAATTTGAATGGAAAAAAATTTAAAAATGTGGAAGACGTCAAAAACCACCTTGACACCTTTTTCAACGAGAAACCGCGCGATTTCTATGAATCAGGCATCCGTAAATTGGTTGAACGTTGGGAGTAGATTGCCGAACATGATGGCGAAACATAATTGATTAATTAAAGCGCTTTCTTCAAAAAATTTCGATTTTAGTTTGCACTTGAAATCGGGCACGAACTTATGCACTCATCCTATTTATATAAAATATTATTTTGACTTATATATATATTATATTTAAAAAAAATTGTTTAATTACTTGTTTTAATTTTCAACCTTCAAACATTATAACAACTCATATTTTATATCAAAAAAAAAAAAAAACCTAAAATCACTTCCCCAATTTTAGGAAATTTTCAAATAACGCAACACGATTTTTCTAATATTTTTACAATGATCAATTATATATGATTAATGAGAGATTATTAGCAAAAGATTTGTTTCCACTAATTTATTTTTCTTTTTTTTAATTTCACATTAACAATTATAATTCTTCCCGTAATTATTCGATTGGGATACAAAGGAATGCCTTCACACTAGCACATAAATATGTATGTGTATATGTATGTGTATAAAAGTATAAAAATACTTTTCCTTGGTGAAAAGTGAAACTCACCCGTACGAAGCAAAACGATAAATTGGCATCTGAGTTGTTGCTGCTGCTGTTGCTGTTGCTGCTGCTGCTGCTGCCGCCACTACTGTTGGCCGTATCGGCTGTGCTTGGTGATGAAGATGTACTATCCATGTTGTTGTTATTGTAATTATGATTACTTGTTAGCAAAAGCTCAAGGTATAGTAGAAGATGCTGTTAGCTTGCTCACCAATACCGTTATGCTATTCTGTTGGCGCTACTAAACTAACTAAGTTCGTTCAATAAATACAAGTTATTCGCGTGCTGTGTTAACTGCTACCGACGCGTATTTTATTGTTTTTTATTTGTTTTTTTTTGTTTGTTTTTTTTCTTCGCTTTAATATTGCGGCTGCTGTTCGAAAGCAGATATATATGTACATACACTATAAAGTTCCGCAATGGACGGACGCCAATGATTTTTCACTCTCACTCGGCAGCGGCCGATTGTGCACTTGTTCACCGTCTTCCTTGTTGTGTGCGATGCAAGTATGTATATGTATGTATGTATGTAAATGCAATTTTATGCACTCGCACGCACACTTTTATCTTAACTTATTCGCGTGTATGTATGCAGGTATGAATGTTTGAATGCGTGTAGTATTCACTTTCAGCGCACGCTGCACGGGAGCTGCACTATTTTGTATGCACTCACTTTGTTGCAGTTAAAAATATTTAAAAAAAATTATACCAATGGTTTCTTGCTCACTTACGAGTATGTATGTATATTTCTGCACTAAAAATTCACTTAATACTCGTTTTCAATTTTTGCCAATTTTCCTTTCTAATTTTTATTTTTTCTTTGTATTTTTTTCTCTTATTTTTTCTTTTGACTTCTTAAACAAACTTCTCTAATTATACATATGTATTTAATTATAACCTCAATTTTTTTTTATTTGAATTACTTTCCATAAATTTGCACACAAAATCATGCACAAAACACACCAAGTTTAAGTGCTCAAACATTGAAAAACATGCATTGGAACAGCGGAAACGCGCACGTGATGCTCTAAGCGCGAACGCATGCGTGAGACGTTGCTTTGCGAATTTTTATTCGTTTGGCAAATTGTTATTCTTTATCGAATATTTATGATGTACAACAACAACGACCGCATTTCATGTTTTAATATGTGTAGATTACATGATACGGTTCTTGGTAAGTGAACTGAAATATGAAAGAAAAGAAAAATGCATTAATTAAAGGAAAGTGAATAATAATAATAATAAACATTGTATATATGTATATACATATGCATGTAAAGTAAAAAATATAAAATTTAGGTAAGCATTATATTTATTCCTTATAATATTGTTCAAGTAAAAAGTAATCCATTATTTCTGCATTAGTTAACTTCAGTGTTCTGTATCTCGCGTTCTATGAGTGCGATTGGATTACGCCAGATGGCTTTAAAAAGCAGATTTTTGGTGCTAAAAAATATTAATGACAGAAGTGTTGATCACTTAACTCAGTAGTTTTGAGTGCACCTCAAAGATGGACATTCCCAAAGAGAAAATCCGCAAACTTCTATAAATTTTCCTCGATAAAGGCAAAAACGCAAGTCAGGCATCTGAAAACATCAATAGTGCTTATAGTCCCGATACTGTAACCGTGAAACAAGCAAAATTTCGGTTTCGTCGATTTTGTTCCAGAAAATTTTGGAAATCACCGAGTCTAACTGTCATGCGAGCACTGCCTTGATTGCCCAGATCTGAACTTTGCACAAAAGCCAGTTTGAAACTACTTGAAAAAGGCTGGAAACACATAGAAGCTCGATCTAGGTGGGCCACATGAGTCAAGGCAAAAAAACTTCATGGATCCTGTATGCAAATCGTTGCTGAATCGTAATAAAATCGAACTGTTTCCGAAGCGAACAGTGACTGGTGATGAAAAGTGAAAGTTAAAGCAACGTCAAACGAAATCGGCTGTGCTCGAAGGCTTCAAACGACCTTTAATCTATTATTGACAGCCAAAAAGATTTGCTTGTGTGTTTGGTGACATTAGCAAGGAATCATCCTCTATGAGCTGCTCCCCTACGGTCAAATTCGTAATTGGCAGCGGCTGACAGTAAGCAATTGGACCGTCTGAAGAAAGCAAATGCCCATTGTTGTTGATGTTAATGCTGGTTCCAAGATAGATGAAATTATAAAGAATTTCAAAGTTATGACTGTCCGCCGAGTCACGTATGCGATAACTGTTCGTTCGATGACAGGAAATATTTCGTTTCATCTTCGTTCACTACAAGACCGATACTCCTCGTTACCTTTTCCAGCCTGGAGAAAGCATTACTAACACTTGCATAGAAAATTCTATTACTCTATTCAGTTCTGCTTATCGCAAATTTCCCAAGTCTTGGCACATGGGGAATATCTTGTCGATGTTAGATTTACCAGAACTGAAGCTACACTTATAAGGTTCAATCCGCTCGTTGACGGACGGTTATCTTACGATAATAGGCGCAAATTGTGGGGTTCTTTATTTCTGGATTTGGCAGAGCACACTTAGATTCCAATCCCAAGGTATGCGCTAATTGGAACAGCTAATCCGAAAGTATATTCCACTTTCACTGGATAAGTGTTCCATTCATATGTTCAGTATTATTCCTAACCTAATTTAATTAGCAAGAAAATTTTTTTTTCTAATTGCGGTCGCCGCTCGCCAGAGAATGCCAAGCGCTTCAAGTGTATTTCTGCCATGAAATAAAGAGCTCCTCATAAAAATCCATCGACCGTTCGGAAGCGGATTAGTATAAACTCTTAAGAGGTTAGTCTCCAAGCTACTAGTAGAACAATTAACGGAGTATAACCTAACCTAATTTTTTCGTAAAGATGTTTCAGAGTAAAATTTCCAAAAATCAAATAGAAATTTACTCTCTGAAATCTTTAATGGCATGTTGTAAATATTTGTAGATAAAAAATTAATTATTGGTTTCAGAAAAGTTTTTTTTTTATTTGGACAAGTTTATTAAAACAAAACATTTTTGAGGCATTAAGACTGAGTTCATAAAAATAAAAATTCAAATTCAAAATACAAGTGAAAATACACAAAAAGTTCTCCGATAACCTTCAAGGATGTTGTTATTAATTTCTTATCTAAAATCATAAAAAAAGTATGTGTTGCTAAAATTAATATTTACTTATTTTTCCATACACATACAATGTACAAATATTATACATATGAGTACATACATATATACCTAATATAATATAAATTTAGCAACTTTTTCGGTATCAAATATGATGACATTGTGAATTTAACATTTAACTGTTAAAGTAAACTTTAAATTACCTTCAATTTACACATATCTATACTTATATTATATACATATGTATGTGTTTGAGAGTACCTACGCTCATCTGATTGTTTATATGAAATATTCTTATCTCAAGATATATTAGAGTATATATAAAGGGTGTTTTTTTTTACTCTCTTCAGAGTTTTGATTTTCCATTTCATAATGAACAGTATTTTACTCCGGAACAAAGTTCTCAAATCGTGCGAATTTATCACCAAAATAATGGTTCAGCGTCCAATACTCGGTTGACATAATCGCCCAGCAGTGTGGGTAATTCGCTCAATCATGGATCAGTTTCGCATCACTTTTACTATAGTGGATAATGCGCCTCCGCAGAGACGCCGTACAGTGCATGCCACAGATGCTATTGCTGTTGTGGAGTAGAGCAACAAAGAGAGCAGTACCCATCTACTTTAGGAAAGATTTTGCGAAAGGATCTTAGTTTGCGTGCTTAAGAAATCCAACTCGAGCAAGCAATAAAGTCAAAGCGCCGTAAAGCGCGTCGCATCTCCGGTGTATGTGCCCAAAACGAGATGGCCACCGAGACAGAATTGCACAAAAAAATTTATACAGCAATGAAGCGCACTTTCGGTCGATTGGTTGTGTTAATAAACAAAAACTGTCACATTTGGGGTGATGATAATACTCCAGCAAGCCATTGTTGAGAACCCATTATATATTGGATGAGTGCATAAGTTCGTGCCCGATTTCAAGTGCAAACTAAAATTAAAATTTTTTGAAGAAAGCGCTGTTATTAATCAATTATGTATTCACCATCATGTTCGGCAATCCACTCCCAACGTTCAACCAATTTACGGATGCCTGATTCATAGAAATCGCGCGGTTTCTCGTTGAAAAAAGTGTCAAGGTGGTTTTAGACGTCTTCTACATTTTCAAATTTTTTCCCATACAAATTGTTCTGCAGCGATCGAAACAAATGATAATCAGAAGGTGCAATGTCGGGTGAATATGGGGGATGCGGCATGATTTCCCAATTCATCTCCTTCAGTTTGGCCAGGGTTGGTATAATATATAATTGGCGCTTTCTAACCGCTGAAACGATTTTTCGGCCGAGCACATTCTCCCATTTATGCGTTTTGATGTTTTTCCAACTAATGGAGGGACCTAAAGCTTGGACTAAGCCGCCTCCGAAAGGCTGATGGTGTTTTATGGGAAGCCTTATTTTCATGTCGAAAATACACTCGGAGAGGTTGACATTCCCTGCCGAGGGGCGACCGCAGTTTGAACGCTGGTTTTCTGAACCCTGCCAACCACTCGGCTAACGCGGCCGCCGTTGAGACGTCATTACAACCTTTAAAAGTCATAGCTTGGTGCATATTTCTTCAAAAATTAAGCCAGTCATAATTTTACACTCAATGGGGAACGCTATACGGCCCTTATTAATGACTTTTATGTGCTTGAATTTGAGAATGTTGACGTGAACAACCTTCGGTTCCAAAAAAACGACGCTACGTGGAATACAGTCAACGAAACAATCATTTCATTAAAGGAAACATTGGGTAGGAGAATAATTACGTGTCATGTGCTGGTGGCGTAGCCTCGAAGATCCTACGATTTAACACAGCTGAACTATTTTTAGTGAGGTTATGTAAACACTAAAGACAATGGACGCCATTTAAGGGAATATTCGGTGCGTTATTGCTGAAAATTTGGTCTTTCGACTGGAATTTAATCGCAGCGGTTACTTAAAACCTAATGCCACACCTTTATCTTAATAACAAAGCTAAATTCTTGTTCATAAGATTGATTTATGTGCCTTTTATTTCTTCTTGAAAGCGACGTGTCTAGAAAAAAAAACTTCCCTTATTTACGGGTATGTGAATATCTTCCAGTTTCAGAATAATTACTACCTTTTATAGCTAAAACTACTTGAACCGCAGTATCGGTTATCGCACTTAATAATTTGACTACATAAACTCTCAATCAATGGCGCAATCACTTTAATTGGCATTAACCGATGACCGTCTACACTTTACTACATACATAAATACCACTTAATAGTTGTAGTAAATGTTATGAGTTTAGTATGAAATTCATTTAATGGTTTCCCCCAACAATCAATCAACAATCAAGCGTCCAACCACCTCACATTAAACATTGTCGATAAATCACATCACAACAGAACAAAGATGGAACGACGTGATGTGATGTGACTACTCATCCGTAGTGGACCACACCCACTAAAACTACTATATAAAATTAAAAAAAAAAAACACTTATAAACTTTAACTCCAAACGTTGGAGCTGAAATAAAATAAAAACAAAAAGAATCCGAAAAGTTATTCTACACATTTCAAGCCGATAGGCAGATCGTGTGTTGCCTTCCTTGTTCTGCGCGGGTCTTTGAGGTGAAATTGTTTTTGTTTTTATTGTTAGTTTCATCATATACAAAGTCTTGTCAATATAATTTGCGCCTTGAACTTTGTTAAATTTGATGATGATGCGTCAAATATTCACACACACACACGCACACACACATACACACAAATTATCTTCTTTTTGATATTTTATTTCCTTGCGACTGGCCAGCGAAGTGCGATTAAATTCTTCTTAAATCTGTTTTCATGCAGCATTGCTGATTTTTTGAGTCTTATATTGGCTTGTGATGAGTAGATATATACATAGTTGCATACATACTGATGTACTAGGTACATCAATGTTTACTTAAATGTTATGAAGGCTTAAGGCGTCAACCCTTCTTGAGATTTTTCGGTGATGTCGTCATGGGATTTCTCATGAATTTAATTAACACTTAAATAATTTGCATAGATATGGTTATACCTAAACATATGTATGTATATGTTATTATATACTCGTATATGTATAAATATGTGAATTTTTCTATTAATTT